TTCCACACCCTTATAAATGGTGATTTATTCTCCTCCCCAATCAACGTGGGACATCACAATTTCGTTTCTCTCTCCAAGATCTCACACGTTCTTTCGAAAAAATATAAAAATAACACACCAACCTCCTCGATCTCAAGAACTCGAGCTAACTCACCACCTCCGTGTCCTTTACGCTCACGACCCACCAAGATTTTGAGGTCAAGAGCGTTAGTTCCTCATTAAGGCTTGAACACTCGAGATTATTGAATGCCTAAGCATGTAACCCTAATTCAAGAACTTTGTTATTGATTGATCTTCCTTAAAATATTAAAACTCTTAGTCTTAACTAATGATTGAATATTAATTAATAAATCAATCTCTTAGAGAAAGTGGATTTTGTACTCTTACCTTTCACAATGTCCATGCATGCATTGATTAATGAGCTTTATTGGTTAATTATTTTTTAATTAGTAAGGAAAAGTACAAACCCTCCCAATTTTTAGTAGTTTTCGGGGTCGAGTTGAGTTAGACGGAAATATATTGTATACCGAACTCAAGGATTATAAACTTTTTCAATTAAAACGGTGTTTAAGATTTCGAGTTCGGTCAAGTTGAGACATTTTTTTAGACCAAATTCAATTGTTCGAGTCGTAAATTTTTTAAACTCGAGTAATCTTGAACGCAACCCAACCATAATATATTTGTATTAAGTTGGTTCGGATTGTTCGAGTTATTGACTCTTTTTTTTTTTTTTTAATAAAAGTAAAATGTTAATTGTTGAGGATTATTGGAGGGGTAGGTTGAACACATCTCTGTGGTAAACTTTATTAAAACCAATAAATCGAGAAGAAATTTACAAAACACTCTGTAGAAATTACTACTTTGTATTGCTTCGAATTTCTTGGGATGATAAACTAAGTAGGGTGAAGGGGTATTTTATACGCGATGATAGGTAATCAATTCCTAAAATTCTAAATCATTTTCTTAACATAAATATAGTCACTCATACAATGGTTGGGCTTAACCCTATTGGGCTAGTGATATATTTTAACACGGTAGTCTCGTATTAGCTAATTAAGAGGAACATCATGGGTTTATGAGTAAGGAACACCATCTCTATTGGCATGAGGCTTGTTCGGAAAACCAAAATCAAAACCATGAGAGCTTATGTTCAAAGTGGACAATATCATACTAGTGGCTTGTGGTTCCTAGCATGTTACGGAAGTCATGTCAATAGAATTCTCAAGCGTTGACACAAAGAAGTTGTGAGTCTCGAAAGTATAGTCAAAGTGACTCAAGTGTCGAACAAATGATGTATTTTGTTTAAGGGCTCCTGAGGAGTCGAGTCTTGACTAAGGGAAGACTGTTCGAGAGCTCCAAAGAAGAAGACCTCAAGGGAAAGCTCTATGGTTAGCTTTGTTCGATTGGAGGAGTATATATATATATATATATTTTGAAAAAAGAGTGTCGGTTTGTGGGTTTTTCTTATTGTTGATTCCAAACTATTGGGTTCTGATACTTAGAAGTCAATAACGTTTATAGGAATATTTTGTTGAGGATGGTTGGAGTCGTGTATTGATTAATTAATAAGAAGATCATGAATATATAAGCGAGGGACACTGTCTCTATTGGTTAAGACCTTTTGAAAAACCAAAAAGAACAATAGCATGCCAATGCCGAGGGTCGTTTGTGATAATTTTTTTGTAATCTCATCCCGAGTTTGGAGAATACAAGTCGTGTAACACGATCCACATACAATTATCATCCAACAAAGCACGTGGACAAAGAAAACTACATACTCAAAACCCCATCTTTTTTTTTCTAAACGAGGGTCCACCTCCCGCCTCTATCTTACTTTCCAAATCCCACCGAAGAATGACAAGAGGGATAAGACAAGATTTAAAAAACACTTTCTCTGTATAAGATCCCGAACTTTCAAAAGTGCATAACAGGTCCTTGAAATATTAATTTCGCGTCTAATAAATCTAATAAGAGTCTATAGTATATGAATAAAGTTGGGTGTCTCATCTCGATAATATTATTAATACGACAAATTTTGTAATATAAATACTTTTTAATTTACGAAATTGCCCCTAGAAAACAGCCAAATTTGTCTATGAAGAAAAGTAAAGATTAGGGACCACTAGGGAAAATGATAAAAGATAAGGTTAATAATTATCCTCTATTAGTGGTGGCGAAGTTTATGAAAGCACAAAATAAAATATTATTTAATTTAATTGAGCCAATCAAATTTAGTTTTTTTTTTTCAAAATTCGCGTTAATTATCTAAAATTATCTTAGAAACTCTGTTAGTGAAATTTAATAATTTATGAAAATTTAATAATTTAAAGTGTATTTAGTTTAATTTATGGAGTGATTTTATGTGATTTAAAAAATAATAATAAATAAAAAAGTGCTTCAACAAATTAGAATAATATAAAATTATTTTTTTAATAAATATTGAAAAATGGATTGTTCAAAATTAACTTTAAAGAAAGATAAAAAAAATGGTGGGTTAAATTAAGGTTTATCGGAGGAAAAAATATTGTAAATTAATTAAGAGGTAAATAAATAAACAAATAATATAGTAATTAAATAACTTAAACTTTTAGACAAAAAAATGTCATTAAACAGCCCCTATAGCTTAGTGGTAGAGCGTCCTTCTTGTAAACGGAAGGTCTGTAGTTCGATCCTGCATCCGCACTTTTTGTCTCCATTTTTAATTTATTTTTTTGCCCTAAAATATTAAGCAAATCCAAGCTAATAATGCTCCCACCATACCAATTATTAACCTTTTCGTGCCTATTAACTCTCTCAAACCTCAAACCATAGCCTATTTGGATCACATGTCGAGTCTCAGTATGTCACAATTTGATTGGTGTTTGGTTTGACGTTGGAGCAAACCAGATAGTCATTGCTTGCAAAGATGCTTTGGATCTAGATTTCCGATACAATGTTTTTTTCTTCAAGTCTTTTTCAGTGATGAGCTCTGACCATTGACTATTTTAGTACTATTAATGAGCTCAAACCATTGCATATTTGGGTCGCACATCGAGTCTCAACTCAAGCATGGGTCACAATTTGATTGGTGCTTCATTGGAGCAAATCATCACCCATTCATTGCTTGAAAAGTAGTTTTGTGTCTAGATCAAATGGCCCCTATAGCTCAGTGGTAGAGCGTCAGTCTTGTAAACTGAATGTCTGTAGTTCGATCCTGCATAGGGGCACTCTTTTTCTTTACTTTTTCTATTTTCCCTCGAGAAATTAAGCAAATCCAAGCTATTATTTCCCCTTTGCACTTCAAATAATGTTCCCACCATACCAATCATCGACCTTTTTGTGCTATTAACGATCGGGCTATTTGGGTCACATGTCGAGTCTCAACTCAATTTGATTGGTGCTCAATTTGATGTTGGAGCAAACCATCATCCAACCATTGCTTGCAAAGGAGTTTTAGATCTAATATCTCCTCTACAATGTTTCTTCTTCGAGTCTTTTTTTAGTGACTAGCTCTGACCATTGGTTATTTCAGTACTATTAACGAGCTCAAACCATTGCATATTTGGATCGCACATCGAATCTCGACTAAAGCATGAATCACAACTTGATTGGTGCTTCGTTGAAGCAAACCATCATCCATTCATTGCTTAGAAAGGTGTTTTGGACCCAAATCAAATGGCCCCTATAGTTCAGTGGTAGAGCGTCAGTCTTGTAAACTGAAGGTCTGTAGTTCAATTCTGCATGAGGGCAAATTTTTGTCTTCCTTTTTTTATTTATTTCCCTAAAATATTATGCAAATCCAACAGCAAATTTTTGTCTTCCTTTTTTTATTTATTTCCCTAAAATATTATGCAAATCCAAGCTATTATTTCCCCTTTGCACTTCAGATAATGCCTGCAGCATACCAATCATTGACCTCATCATTCTATTAACGAGCTCAAACCATTGACTATTTGGGTCAATCACAATCTGATGGGTGCTCGGGGGAGTTTTGGATCTAGAACGAATAACTCTTATAGTTCAATGGTAGAGTGTCAATCTTGTGAACCAAAGGTTTGTAGTTCAATCCTGTCTTCCTTTTTTATTTTTCCCCCCTAAAACATTAAGCAAATCTAAGCTATTATTTCCCCTTTGCACTTCAAATAATGCCACCAACATACCAATCATTGACCTCATCGTTCTATTAACGAGCTCAAACCATTGGCTGTTTGGGCCAGTCACAATTTGATTGGTGCTCGGGTTGGCATTGAAGCAAACCATCATCCATCCAATGCTTGCAAAGGAGTTTTGGATTTTAGCTTAGTGGTAGAGCGTCAATCTTGTACACGAAGGTTTGTAGTTCAATCCTGCATGGGCACTTTTTTGTCTCCCTTTTTTTATTTTTTCCCCCTAAAATATTAAGCAAATCCATTTTTTTATTTTTTCCCCTGTCCACTTCATATAATGCCCCCACCATCCCAATCATTGACCTTATCATTCTATTAACGAGCTCGAACCATTGACTATTCGGGTTGGTCAATTTGATTGGTGCTTGGGTTGCCGTTAAAGCAAACCATTATCCATCCATTACTTGCAAAGGAGTTTTGGATCTAGATCAAATAGCCCCTACAGCTTAGTGGTAGAGCATCAATCTTGTAAACCGAAGGTCGGGGGCAATTTTTTGTCTTTTATTTTTTTTATTTCTATTTGGGTCAGCCACAATCTAATTGATGCTCACAAACCATTTTTTCCCCTCATCCTATTTGCCTATTTGGGTCAGCCACAATCTAATTGATGCTCACAAACCATCTTCTAGCCATTGCTTGCAAAGGAGTTTTAGATCTAGGTGTTAACCCCCGATCTAAAATATATGGATTCTGTAACACTATTAATACGACCATTTGACCCAAATCGTTTACGTGGATACACATGATTAGGTGTCTACTATACATATAAACATTGTACATTTAAGAAACAAAGTGCAATCTCCAGATAGCTATAGTGTAGATATAGAGAATAATAATTCTATTTCGTGACAACGATAAATTTTATTGAAGGAATGAACGTTTGGTTAGTTGATAATAAACAAGTCGAAAGATGTATAACAACCCAGAAACCAATATAGTAATCCGTAGTTCTGTACCTTCCCATTGTACCTTGCTGAAGGAGACCTGGTCCATTGCAGGAGTCAATTAAGGCCTCGGCAGGTGGGGCACAAGTAGAAAGTTTCTCCGCAGTTGCAACATGTCTACTCAATAGAATGGAGAAGAATTAGTGAAGAATCTACAAGGAAAGTGAGTTTCATTTACTATAGGCTTTGGATATTACCTGATGCCCACAACCAAAACCCATGTCCTTTGGATTAGTGACACAAATGGGGCAAGTCTGCAAGGCCAAGCCATTTTACAATCATAAAACGTTAGTCCTCAAAGTGAAACATGAAGTTCAAACAATGTTGAGAATTGTTGGGAGGGAGACTCACGTTGGCTAAGTAAGAGGATGATCATGGGTTTATAATAGGTATGGGGCCTTTCGGGAAACCAAAAGCAAAACCATGAAAGCTTATGATCAAAGTGGATAATACCGTATCATTGTGGAGGGTCGTGATTCCTAACATGGTATTAGAGTTATGCCCTTGACTTAGACATGTTAATAGAATCCTCAAATGTCGAAGAAAGAAGTTGTGAGCCTCGAAGGTGTAGTTAAAAAGTGACTCAAGTGTCGAATAAAGAGTGTACTTTATTCGAGGGCTTCAAAGAAAGGAGTCGAGGTTCAATTAAGGGAGGCTGTTCGAGGGCTCTATAGGCCTCAGGGGAGGTTCTATGGTATACTTTTTTCGAAGGGAGGATTGTTGAGGACGGTTGGGAGGGAGTCCCACGTTGGCTAATTAAGAGGATGATCATGAGTTTATAAGTAAGAAATACTATCTTCATTTGTATGAGGCCTTTTGGGAAACCAAATGCAAAACTATGAGAGCTTAGGCTCAAAGTGGGCAATATCATACCATTATGGAGGGTCGTGATTCCTAACAAACAATGGTGAGGCCACCACCGAAAAAAGGAAAGGATTAATTACTAGAAAGATGTTAGACACCTGGTTGGGAGAGCTTGAGGAAGGAGTGTTGCCAACTCCTTGGTTATGTCTACCATTTGAAGGCGTTCTGGTATGTGAACCGTTGGCGCGTGGGGATCTTGGGTAGATGTACAAAGGAGGAAGAAGAGGAACTCTCTTTGGCGAGCTCCCTCGTCGTCGACTGCTTCATCAAGAAGAGATCAGAAATAGCAGTCAAAACTCGAACGTCGGCAAAGAAAGCAGTTGAATCACAAAAACATAAAATCAATGCATACCCCAACAGGCCAAGCTCTACAGTAGCCTGATATTGAGAAGGTATTTTCATTAAGGCAGCAAGAGTAAATTCAGTCTGCCTTCTGTCAAAGTTTACATATCTTGATATAATCTCAGTGAAATTGACAAACTGGATACACAAAGCAGGCTCTAATAGTGTCAGCATATGTAAAAAAATGTGAAAATTTCTATCCTGCATGGAAGTAATGTTGAAAACCTGAAAATTATCAAAAGCTCGAGCTGGGATGTTATCATCAAAATTCTTCATCATGTCCCAAGGCCCGTCTCCGACACCAACCAAGATTATTGACAATGGGTACTCACTGCAAGTATGCTAGTGTTTAAAGAACAAGGAGGAGTTCGATAATCAAAGATGGAGTCGCTTGATATTTACCTCGCTTTAACGATTGCGTCGACAGTGTTTTGTTCTTGTACACTTAGTTGATTGTTATGTGTGTCAACACTTGTGACCTGTCTTAAGGGCAACTTCTTTTATACATGAATACTATAAGGCAAACCAACTGATGGAGTAGAAAAACTTGCCAGTTCGAACCCAGACTCACCTGCCCATCGGCAATTATCAGCAAAATATGGAACTGACCACCAGTTTGCTCAACTATTGTCATGGCCATCTCAATTATTGGTGCAAAAGATGTAGGTCCTGCAAGAAGTGAGAATAAGGGTGAAAGTAAGCCATATGGTCATGGTTAACATTAATCGAAACAAGAAAACAATCACCTGCAAATCGTAACTTGGTAACAATGTCTCTGTAACCATCCAAAACTTCCTCAAATCCATTACAGGGTCTATCATCGTCGTAAAAGCTAAAAACATCATGATCATGGGTAGTTACTGCAAAGATTGCAGTTCAATTGTCAATTCCTCATTAAATAAATGTGTAACGGCCCAAGCCCACCGCTAGCAGATATTGGCCTTATTGGACTTTTCCCTCCGGGCTTCCCCTTTGTTCTCCTCTCCAACCGATGTGGGATCTCACAATCCACCACCCTTCGGGGCTCAGCGTTTTCAATGGCACTCGTTCCCTTCTCCAATTGAAAGGGAAAGCTCAAAGAGATAATATTTGCTAGCAGTGGACTTGGCTGTTACAAAACTTACAGTAAGTGTTAAATGCAATTACAATCTCCAAATCCATAGCAGGGAATCTTGTTGTCCTCGTCAAACTCTCCTAAGGTATCATCAATCATAGATATGGCTTGTTGATATGGATTCGGCCCATTCCAAATGTGGTGTAAACTATGTCCACTAAACGACCTTGAACCTACATTAAAAGAGCGATCAGCGTAATATGAGTAGTAAATGTGTTTAACTAGAAACTATGAGATGAGAACGGACCTGTCCACTGATTGCTCTTCGTGAAATCAATTCCCACAATGAGATTAGAGGACTCTAGTCCAGCTCGCCGAAGAGCTGCTGTCACCTGTTGTACAACCCCATTATTAACAACTCCCAAAACGAAGCCAATATGGTATTTGTTATTATCATCAGAAGGTTAACAAGTCAACAAATCTAGTACATAAATCTTCCATGATCAAATGACTGATTTTATTTGTTATCATGTCCTAAAGGATCCGCAGTTTCTATACTCAACTCAATCATAAGGCTAATTCATACAAAATCCCAAGTACTCAACTCAATCATAAGACTAATTCATACGGAATCCCAAATTTAACCATGGGTTTATTGTTGAGGACGGTTGGGAGAGGAGTCCCACGTCGGCTAATTAAGGGGTTGATCATGGGTCTATAATTAAGGAAATACATCTTCATTAGTACGAGGCCTTTTGGGAAAACCAAAAGTTAATCCATGAGAGCTTATGCTCAAAGTGGACAATATCATACCTTTGTGGAGGTTTGTGATTCCTAACATGGTATATCCCTTAGCTTAGTCATATCAATAGAATTCTCAAATGTCGAACAAAGAAGTTGTGAGCCTCAAAGGTATAGCCAAAAGTGATTCAAGTGTCGAACAAAGGGTGTACTTCGTTCGAAGGCTCCAGAGAAGGAGTAAAGCCTCGGTTAAGGGGAGACTGTTCGAGGGCTCCATAGGTCTCAGGGGAGTCTCTATGGTATACTTTGTTCGAGGGGAGGATTGCTGAGGATTGTTAGAAGAGGAGTCCTACATCAACTAATTAAGGGTTTGAGGGCTCCAGAGAAGGAGTCGAGCCTCGATTTAAGGAGAGGTTGTTCGAGGGCTCCATAGGCCTCAGGGGAGGCTCTATGGTGTACTTTGTTTGAGGGGAGGATTGTTGGGAGAAGAGTCCCACATCGGCTAATTAATGGGTTGATCATGGGTTTATAAGTAAGGAAATACATCTCCATTGGTATGAGGCCTTTTGGGAAAGCCCAAAGCAAAGCCACGAGAGCTTATGCTCAAAGTGGACAATATCATACCGTTGTAGAGGCTCGTGATTCCTAACATTTATAACTTTAACACCAATCCTGAACCTATTTAACAAGTGTATGCAGGCAAAGTTCATATGGGGAGGTCAAAATGAAGCAAGTAAAGCCACAACTTCCCATTTACAGCTCAATAAGAATCATTAAAATGCAAGGAGCTCATTGATCTCCTATCCAGAAAGTTAACATCCTAATTCTTAAACACCTTTCACAAAAAAAAACACAGACAGAGCACAGGCAGCGAGACATCAAACATTATAGACAATAGCAGGACAAAGATCTAAACCTCATTCGCGGATCGGTAATTGACGTTTATTCTTGAATATCTCCTGTTTGAATCGAACTCTCCTTGACCTGGCTCCTTAGAGTTCATCCTTCAGTATAAAGCAAAACGGAGCACACACAAAATCAACTAATCACCTACAAAGAACAGAGAAAAGATGAATCAATGATCTTCAAAACAATCAGGGTCTGAAGAACTTGGATCTTCAATTTTACCAGCAAAAAATCTCGAAATCCAGAGCCGTTTATAGAATCCAATACTAATGTCTGTGTATTTATAACCTTTCCTGAAATCACTACAAAGACGAAGCAAATCCGTGGCAGAAAAATGAATAAACAAAGACCAAAAAAGGTAATATCAAGATCGTCAAGTAACTACGACCAGTTCAATTAAACCGGTCATTGTCAAAACGTTAAACCAGCTATTACAGCACCATTGCTACTGCATAATCAATTCATGGCCTACACACGCAATACAGAGCGTAAGAACCCCAGACGAAGTTCTTAAACGATTATCAAACAAAATGAAATCATCATATTTGTTGACTTAAACAACTGATTAACTTACTCCTTTTTCCAAACGAGTGAGCCATTTTTTGTAGTTTGAATCTGAAAATGAGATGCTGCTGCTTGCCGAGCAGTGATATCCAGAGGATCTTTGTTGGTAAACATTCTAGTTTGTTCTTGGGGAATGGAAAAATGAAGGGAAAAACAGCTGCTGCTTAATGCAATATCAAAATTTATCGCCAAGCAACCACCAATATAAATATTAAGAAAATGAATTGAACTAAAATCCATGGAGTTAAGAAAGAGAATTTTAATTGTGAACTCGGTCCGATTGTCGAGTCTCGAGGGTCTTGATAACATTACAGAAGTGACTATATTTTACGTGCACTTTGTGGGGACTTATTAGGAAGTTTTTATAGTCAACTTGTCCGGTCTCAGTAGAACTTCACATGGCCCGCAAGTTCGCCACTAACTGTAACAGCACCGTCTGCTAAAATTTGCCCTTTTTTAATGTATTTACGCTCGTGAACCTGGGATTTTTGTTGCATACACGTAATTTTGTTAGAACGTTGATACAGAACTAATGGAATTCTTCGAGTGTACTCATTGTTAGAATTGGTATAAATGATCTTTCCCTAGTGTTTGGCTATATCGAGCCATGTGGCGTTCCAACCCAGTTCCAACAATACACTTTTCAGACCAAGAAAGCGGTTTAAGTCCTAGGAATGCATGAACTTAATATGAACCTTATGAGCGTCTTGTGGGTGCAGTTAGGGGGTTTCCAACCACCCCCTAATCGTGATCTTGTTCGAATGAGAGCAAGGGACCATATAGGTAGATAATGTTGGCTTGATAATGGGTCGTAACCTTCTTTATATGGATAATGTTATGGGCTAATACAGAAGGCCAACTGAACCCTTTTAAAGAATTTAAGAACAAGGTCCGTAACGGTATGATAAGAACGATGAGTTTGAATACAAATGTTGAGGTCGTGCTTCGACGGCTTACTGGCGATAGGTATATGATAATAATGATGACTTGATGAGATTCACCATGACGACAACGACGATGAAAGGGAAGTAGTAACATACATGGATAAGAATCCTATGAACGAACTACGGAACGAACTGACACCCCTAATAGGGCTAAAGAGAGAACTTATAGTTTATGCATTACGACCCTAAGTCGAACTTAGGAGAACCAGGTCAACGTGCGGTATATCCTAGGAAAGGCCTGTAACTGAACAATGAACTCTTAAGTATCAATAAGACAGTTAAAAAACGAAGATATGATAAATGACTTAAGAATTACAAGTAAACTACTTGCTGAATATTTTTATATTTTTTTCCGGATAAAGATTAGACAGAGCGGTATTTAGTACTTCTTATACTCATTATGAACCGAGTCTTAATGCATGCACGCTTAAAAAAAATATAAATTTATGTATATTTTTTAATATTCCACATCATTAATGACGGTCCAAACTCGAATCTCTAATAAGTTTATTCCTATTTATGTTTGTATTTATTTGGAATATAAATTAAAAAAAAAGTATCTAATAAATACTTATATTTTTTATTTTTGTCAGGTCTAATAAATTCTTGACCGAATTATTATTTTATTATTATTATTATTTTTTGTGTCCTTTCGACATATTTAATTATTTTAAAATTTAAAAATGTATTAAAGTTTTATTATATCACTAAATTAGTTAATAAAAAAAAGAATTTAATATATTAGGGAATGTTGCAACCATTAAAAAAAGTTGTAAAATATTAAAAATGTCACTTTTTTTTTATTTGTTTTTTTAGAATATCCTTTTCAATATAATTTTTTTTATTGATAATTAAGATTTGTGACCGATTCTACTAAAAATGTCAAATCCTTTGTTGTTTTTTTTTTTTCGAAAATTAAATATTTTATGCAAAATTATTTAATAATATTATAATTGATTTGGTCCTCAATCATTTAAAATTCTCTAATTTGACTTTTGTGTATTAAAAATATTCAATTAGTTCATTTTATAAAATTAATTTATTAAAATTACTAGCAAAAGTATGTTTATTTTCATTAAAAAGAAAAAAAAGAAAAAAAAAATCATTTATTCTCCAAGTTAATAAAAATAATGACAATTTTTTATTAATAAATTTTAATTAGAGATGTTCAAAGGGTGGAGTTAGGGGAAGCCTTCTCCGTCCCTATTATCGTCACCTGTTTTATTTTCTATCTTCGTGAAATTTTCCATTTATTTTTGCAGAGACCGAAGCGTGACATGGAGAATTTTCGGGAATCGAGTTTTCGTAATTTTTTTTGTTGATTATTTTTTTAAAAACAATTATTTTAAAATTTTTATTTTTAATATAATATTTATTAAAAAAATCTTAATAAATCAATATATTTCATAAGCAAAGTATATACATGGTTCTACCGACCTAATTTTAAAAAATTCAAATTTTAATATTACACCATAGTCTTTAATAATTAAAAAAAAAATCCAATTAGTGTTCAAAATTAACTATTTTTTAATATAGCAAAAAGTATGTATATATATATATTAAATAGGGCGAGATGGAAAATTAGGCAGGGGACAGGGAATATAATCTCGTCCCTAGCCCCATTTATTTAACGGAAAAAAATGTTCTCTATTCCCTCCCTCATTCCCCTTCTAAACGGGAAATCCCTTTCTAGTTTGAGATGGTCCCTCGAAGGCCTCAACCTCGACCTCGTGAGTAAAATGGACATCTTTCAAGGATAATTTAAAAAAATTTAAAAGAGAAAGATGAAATCCATTAAAATAATAATAAATAAATAAATAAATTTGAGGGACTTTGATTTATTTAAGGCTTAAGTCTTAATAAAAAGATTGACATAATTTATTGAGTGACGTTTTATTTATTACTCCATAATTATTTTAAAAATATTTTTCAACGTAGACTTTTAAAAAAAAAAACATTAAGAATTTGTTATTTCCTTCCCACTTTCGAATTAGTTGTTGATTCCAAAGATGATTTGACAAACATTTGTTTTTATTAGAAATTTTGTACAATAATATATGATATAGTTGATAATATAGTTTATCAATCTTGCATGTAACGCCCCTATTCCCGAGATATGATAGGATAGCTAAGAAAGACTTTAACATAATTGAAAGTTGTTACATATATCAACAAGGTGGACCTTCCTTCCCGTGACTCGATCATAGAAACTTCAAATGTTTTGCTTGTGTTGGTTTATGAGGATAATTTTCACTCTTAGGAGCGAGAAGTAACGTGATCATCTTGCAGGAGAATGTCGAGGCCATCATATACTGAATTTGAATTCAAAATCCTGGGCATGGGGCATTACATTGCGCGATTAACTCTTCGTTCTGTCGTTGCCCATACATGAGTCACCCTAAGTAGATTAGACCTACTGTAGCATTCTGACCAGTCGCTTGTCGAGATGAGTGTCAATGCTCGTCAAAGAATACCCAAAGCGTTTGGACATGTGAGATTCCACGTTGGTTGAAAAAGGAAACAAACCATTTCTGCTATTAGACTAACAACAATACGTAACAGGCCAAAACAGACAACATTTGCTAGCGGTGACTTGGGCTGTTGCATACCGATACCCGTCTGCTAAACATTTCTGCTATTAGCCTCGTTGTATAATCTATAATTCATAACATGAATTCTTCAATACAGAAGAAAAATCCAGCACAGTCAGGAGAGCTATAGTGTATATAAACTGGTAACTCTAAGAAGTTCATGTAACAAAGAAGAACAGCTCTAGTCAATGACAATGATGAATCTTATTTCGGAAAAAAAACATCTGCTTAGTTGATGATAAACAAGCAGGAAGATTTATTACAACCCAGAAACCGATATATACAACGACGTACGCACGTAAAAATGATTTCTAAGAACGAAACAAGATTAAAACGAACTCCCTTTGAAGCTTCTACAAACAGGTATAGTTGTGTATAGTCAGTGATGAGGCAGGCTAACAAAAACATCCACCATATGTACAAACACACCCTGTAGAACAGTATTGATGTTCATCGAAACCGCCATTTAACAAGACGAAGATATAGTAATCTGCAGTTACGTACCTTCCCGTTGTACCTCGCTTCGAGAGACCTGGCCCATTGCAGGAGTTGAGGATCCAAAAAATGAAATAAATGAGCCATAGGTATCACATGGCAGGACTTAATAAAGCCTTATTCTAGTCTGAATAGAGCTTCGGCAGATGGGGCACGACTCGAGTGTTTCTCCGCAGTCGCAGCATGTCTACGTAATAGGAGGGAGAAGAGTTAGTGAAGAATCTACGAGGAAAGTGAGTTTCATTTACTATAGGTGTAACAGACCAAGTCCACCGCCAGTAGATATTGTCCTCTTTGGGCTTTCCCTTTTGGGTTTCCCCTCAAGGTTCTTAAAACGTGTTTGCTAGGGAGAGGTTTTCACACCCTTATAAAGGGTGTTTCGTTCTCCTCCCCAACCGATATGAGATCTCAAAATCCACCCCCCTTCAGGGTCCAGCGTCCTCAATGACACTCGTTCCTTTCTCCAATCGATGTGGGACCCCGTCAAATCCACCCCCTTCGGAGTCCAGCATCCTTGCTGGCACATCACCTCATGTCCACCCCCCTTCGAGGCTCTGCCTCTTCGCTAGCACATTGCCCAGTGGCTGAATCTAATACCATATGTAACGGCCCAAGTCCACCGCTAGTAGATATTGTTCTCTTTGGGCTTTCCCCTTCAGGTTTCCCTCGAAGATTTTTGAAACGCGTATACTAGGGAGAGGTTTCCACACCCTTATAAAGGGTGTTTCGTTCTCCTCCCTAACCGACGTGGGATCTCACAATAGGCTTTGGATATTACCTGATGCCCGCAACCAAAAGCCATGTCCTTCGGATTAGTGAGACAAATGGGGCAAATCTGCAAGGCCAAGCCATTTGACAATCATAAAACGTTAGTCCTGATTAAAAAAGATCCAAAACATAGCTTTAGTGGCTAAGGTTAGAACCTGGTTATCATAATGAGAACTGGTGGATGAAGTTGTGCCAACTCCTTGGTTATATCTACCATGTGAAGGTGTTCGAGTCTGAAAACTGTTGGCTCGTGGGGTCCTCGGGTAGCTGTTGAACGGCGTCGTGCTGTACAAAGGAGGTGGAAGAGGAACTCTCTCTGGCGAACTCCCTCGTCGTCGACTGCTTCATCGAGACGAGATTAGAGATAGCATTCGTGAGTCGATAAAGAAAGCATAAAATGAATGCATACCCCAATAGGCCAAGCTCTAGAGTAGCCTGATATTGAGAAGGTATTTCCATTAAGGCAGCTAGAGCAAACTCAGTCTGCCTTCTGGTAGAGTTTACATTTTTTGACATAATCTCAGTGAAATTAACAAACTGCATACACAAAGCAGGCTACAATACTCAGCATATGTAATAAAAATGTGAAAAATTCTATCCTGCATGGTAGTAATGTTGAAAACCTGAAAGTTATCGAAAGCTCGAGCTGGGATGTTGTCGTCAAAATTCTTCATCATGTCCCATGGCCCGTCTCCGACTCCGACCAAGATAATTGACAACGGGTACTCACTGCAAGTATACTCGTGTTTAAAGAACAAGGAGGAGTTTGATAATCAAAGATGGAGTGGCTTGATCTTTACCTTGCTCTAACAATCGCATCGACGGTGTTTCGTTCTTGTGAACTTAGTTGACCGTTATTTGTGTCGACACTTCTTGTGACCTGTCTTAAGGGAAACTTCTTTTAGACATAAGGCAAACCAACAGTATGCAAAACGAGTTTTTTCAGATATTTGTTTCAATGAGATCAAATATGGAAGGTGAAGGACTTGCTCGTTCGAAACCGGACTCACTTGGCCATCTGCAATTATCAGCAAAACATGGTACTGACCACCAGTTTGCTCAACTATTGTCATGGCCATCTCAATGATTGGTGCAAAAGATGTAGGTCCTGCAAGAGGTAAGAACAAGGGCTAAAGTAAGCAAAATGGTCACGTTTTGCATTAATCGAAACAAGAAAACGATCACCTGCAAGTCGTAAGTTGGGGACGATTTCTTTGTAACGATGCAAAACTTCCTCAAATCCATTACAGATCCTGTCATCGTCGTAAAAGCTAAAGACATTTTGATCATGTGTAGATGCTGCAAAGATTGCAGTTCAATTGTCAATTCGCCATTAAACGAACGTATGGTAAGAATCGAGATCGTGCCTAAAATGCAATTACCATCTCCAAATCCATAACATGGAATCATGTTGTCCTCATCAAAAGCTGATAAGGTCTGTCCAATAATAGATATGGCTTGTTCATATGGATTCTGTGTGTTCCCGATGTGGTGTAAACTACGTCGATTAAACGACCTTGAACCTATATCGAAAGAGGGATCAGCATACTATGAGTAGTAAATGTGTTTATCTAGAAGCTATGAGATGAGAACGGACCTGTCCACTCGTTGCTCTTCGTGAAATCGATTCCCACAATGAGATTAGAGGACTCTAGTCCAGCTTGAGCAAGAGCTGCTGTCACCTGTTGTAAAACACCGTTATTAACAACGCCCAAAATGAAGCCAATATGGTATTTGTTAGTATCAGCAGAAGGTTAACCAGTCAAACAAATCTAGTACATAAGTTTCCATGATCAAATGACTGTCCTCAAAGAGTCTGCGATTTCTGTACTCAACTCAATCATTAGACTAATTCATACAGAATCCCCAGTTTAAACCAATCCTTGAACCTACTTTAACAAGTTTATGCAGGCAAAGCTCATATGGGGAGGTCAAAATGAAGAAAATAAAGCCCCTACTTTTGTAACAGCCCAAGTTCGCCACTAGTAGATATCCGCTTTGGCCTGTTACATATCACCGTCAACCTCACAGTTTTAAGGTGCATCTACTAGGGAAAGGTTTCGACACCCTTATAAGGAATGCTTCATTCCCCTTTCCAACTAATGTGGGATCTCACAATCTACCCCCTCGAGGATTCAGCGTCCTCGCTGGCACACTGCCCACTGCCTGGCTCTGATACCATTTGTAACAGCCCAAGCCCACCGTTAGCAGATATTGTCTGCTTTGGCCCATTACGTATCGCATCAACCTCATGGTTTTAAAACATGTCTACTAGAGAGAGGTTTCCACACCTTCATAAGGAATGCTTCGTTCCCCTTTCCAACCAATATAGGATCTCACAATCCACCCCCCCTTCAGAGCCTAGCGTCCTCGTTGACACACCGCCCAGTGCCTAGCTCTGATACTATTTGTAATAGCCTAAGCCCACGGCTAGCAGATATTATCTGCTTTAGCTCGTTACGTATTGCTATCAACCTCACAGTTTTAAAACGCATATACTAGGAAGAGGTTTCCACACCCTTATAAGGAATGCTTTGTTCCCCTCTTCAACCGATGTAGGATCTCACAATCCACCCCCTTAGGAGCCCAGCTTCCTCGCTGGCACGCCGTGGCTCTAATACCATTTATAAGAGCTTAAGCCCACCACTATCAAATATTGTCTGCTTCAACCGACGTGGGATCTCACAGCTTTCTATTTACAGCCCAATGAGAATCATTACAATGCAAGGAGCTCATTGATATCTTTCCCAGAAAGTTAACATCCTAGTTCTTAAACACTTCCACAAACAGAGCACAGGCAGAGAGACATCAAACATTATAGACAAAAAAACAGGACAAAGATTCAAACCTCATCCAAGGATTGGTAATGGTCAGCAATTCTTGAATATTTCCTATCCAACCTCCTCTGTGGTAGTGGTGTTTGTGACCCATAATCAAAGCGTTGTGGATATGAATATTCCTGAACATACGGCGAAGGTGGAGGATAATTGTCATAACCCCACGTTGAAGAATTCCCAAACCCATCTGAATCAAACTCTCTTTGATCCGTTTCCTTCGAATTCTTACTTCCCATAGCTCAAAAATCTGCAAATTCCTCAGCACACAAAAAGTCAACTAATCACCTGCAAAAGAACAAAGAACATATGAACCAATGATCTTCAAAACAATCAGGTTCTAAAGAACTTGGATCTTCAATTTTACCAGCAAAATCCAATACTAATATCTGTGTATTTATATCTGTTTCTGAAATCGCAGCAAAGATCAAGCAGAAAAATGAATAAAAAAAGACCAAGAAAGGTAATAGTAGCTACGACCAGTTCAATAAACCCTGCCGTCGAAAATCCAACGCTAGAAGGGACCTCTACAGTACAGAAGTTTCCTGTAGTCTCCTATCCGATAATCACAAGAGATTGACCATGAATCTAGGAGGTTTAATCACTTGGGTAAGTTTCAAAATCTATAAATTATTGAAGAAAATCGAGACGAAGTGTGGCCCAAGGAATAGAGAAATTGGGTTTGGGTCTTCGTCAAAACATTAAACCGGCTACGATTGCATAATCAATTCATAATCTCTACACGCAAACAGTGCGTAAGAAAGGCAGATGATGTTCTTAAATGATTATTATAAAACAAAATGGAATCATCATACTTGTTGACTAACCCAGTCGATGAACTTCCTCCTTATTTCCAAAAGAGTAGGCCATTTTTGGTAGTCTGAATCTGAAAACGAGATGCCGCTGCTTTTGTAGACGGCAAATAATGATATCCAGAGGATCTTTCTTGGTAAACTTCCTGGTTTGTTCTTGGGGAGAGGAAAAAGTTGGAACAACCCATCCGTCTAAAGTTTTGGTCATTGTCCAATTGAAATGTTCATTGATAATGTCTTTGTAAATGGAAAGATTCAATAACATTAAATGCCCTTTGATATTTTATGATATCTCATACATACATATATATATATATATATATATATATATATATATATATATATATATATATATATATATATATATATATATATTTGTATCGTATGTCTAACCGACGGCCAACGGAACTAACATGTGACCGCGAGAGAAGTAGAGAAGTAGCTCTGGTTTGACATATTCAGCTTCGTGTCAGATAGGCTTTTAAATTTTTTATTTTTGTCGAACTAGTATTTAAAGTATTTGACTGTTTTTTAAAATTCACGAACAGACACTAAATTGAAAATTTTAATATTTTATTAGACCTCACGTGAGCATTACTTATAAGGGCGTGAAAACATCTCTTTACCATACACATTTTAAAATCGTAAAGTTGACCACTATAAGTAATTAGTTAAAGCTGACGACTATTTCTTTTTTTTTTAAAATAACCACAACCTCTATATATATATATATAAATATTATGACAAATTTTAAGTAATTTTCTGATTTAAAGATTTTAGATTTGATTTTAAGATATTAAAAATTCGTAATTAGATCATTATTAGCTAAACTATATTTTTTTCTGAATAAAATTTATTTATTTTTCGAGTGGCATGCCTGCACATCTAAATAAACTAATAAAAATAATTATGCAATAATATAAAAAAAATTTATAAACAAAATTTAACCTTTATTATATTTAAGGATAATTTTAAAATGGATTAAAGTGGCAAAAAATAAAAAGTTTGATTTATTTAAGTCGTAATAATAATATTAAAAGTTATTGAGTTATAATTTATTTATTAATCCACAACTTTTAAAAAAATATTTTACAATATTGACTTTTTTTTTTAAAAAAAATTATTTATTTTTTTTATTTCCTTCGTACTTTCTTTTTAAAATTAATTAAATTATAGTCTTAATTTTGTTTAAAAAAATATTATATTTTGATTCTTGAAGTCGGAGTCATTTAAAAAGTTTATTTAAGTCGAATTAGTCTTACGAGTTGTAGCTTCACTCTCTTTTTTGAGGTTAGTGACTTGGTTCGACTTCACTTTGCACGATCAATTTGTCCGTTCGGACATTTGATTGGTTGCAGTGAGCTCTTAAAAAACAAACCAGCAAGGATTTTAGTTTTTTTTTAAACATTGGAGGTGAAATGATTTGATTTTGGAGTTAACCGAAGAACATTTGGGGTTGGATTGCATTATAACCGCTACTATTGTAAGTAGCCCAATTGGATAGTTCTTTAGAATTTTCGAACAGATGTGAGTTGTGAATAGATTGATAACAAATGTTACGACGACGACTAGTGTTAGTAAGTGTTTTACTTAACTCATGTGTTGAAAATATATTTATATTAAACTCGGAACAGGTGGAATAGGAAATCAAGTTGAAATGGAGACAGGGAATATAATTCTGTGAGTGACCTCATTCATCTCCGCTGTAAATGAACATCTTTGAAGTACGAGATACCAGTATCACCCACAAATTTATTTTGGAATGTGATATTACTCGGCCCAAATGATTATATATGGGCCTAGACGTCCTCTTGGGCTTGGGTTTAACTCGAGTAAGTAAGTTCTTCATTCTTTTGGGCTGAGCCCAACTTCTTCTATGTCCATTTGTCAACGTCCCCAAATTTCCTGAACCGCACGACACAATTCAAATCGATATATGTATTTCGAGGCATGATATGAATTCAACTACTGACTCTTTGCATGTACCGGAAAGACAGATTACAAGAAACAATGTTAAGGCAATTCAAGAGGCCTATTACATCTGCAAAGAAGGTTAGCTAATGTACGAGTTGAGCCCAAAAATCTTTATAATATTAGCATATCAAATCAAGAAAATAATAGGGTGGCTGACATTGAAAAATGATTATTCAATTAAGACAATTTGTGTATGCTTTATTTTCTTAAATTTATATTTACTAGCTTTTATTGGTAGCCATAGTTTGTAGCTGGTAGATGAATTTCATTATGTTTGGGTTATCTTTTTGGTCTATTTGAAGACATGTAATATTCATGCTTAAGCATCATTGTTGAATACAAACAAAACCTTCGTGTTTTCTTGATACCTTTTTGGTGTTATTCTTTTTCAAACTTTGTTTAGATTTGATGTTTAAATCGTGCTTTAGTTTTGATGTTTAAATTGATTCATAGAATTAGTTTTAATCAAGCTAATTTTGGAGTGAGTGAAGGTAAGAGTGACCATCATAGATTCCAAGTTCAATCTAATAGTCATTTATTTTCTGACCAGTTCTTGGTTGGAATCAATTCTGTTAAGTTAGTTTTTTTTGTGAACGTTGGCAAGGATTCTAGAAGGATCTCTAGGTTTGCAAAATCCAGCATTGTAGGCGCTTATCGAGGCATGTTTTCAAACTATTAAATTAATGATCAAACCATATTAAAATATTAATTAAGTCTTGTAATCACGGACACTAAAGCTAAAACTACTTTAACGTATGATTGAGAACTTAATGACTTGGAAAGATTAAAATTTTGACGAAAATTGCAATAAACTAAAAGTCGAAATCTTCAATGAAATAAAATAAAAGTCCAGCTACAAACTAAAAAGATCGAGTAAGCTAAAAGTTAAAGATTCAATAAAGCCAGAGTCGAGTTTCGATAAGCTAAAAATCGAAAAACCGTCGAAAAAAAAAAATTGTTCTGACCCCCAAATAAAATGTACGTACGTACGTGTGAACAACATTAAAGAATGATACGATAAAAAATTGTATCTACTTATAAATAAAAATTAATTCAAATCAATGTTTTATTCTTTAAATTAATTAATTATTGTTATTTTTTTTGATAATTTCATCTGTCTTTGATATATTCAAATTTGTAAAAATTAATTTAAAAAATATATATCATTAAAATTTAATAGACACAAAATAAAAGTTTAAATAATTATTACACACATAAAATTATAAGATATTTAATACTGATTTTGAAACAATTTAATTCATTTTTATTGTTCGATACATTTAATAATTCAAAACTAAATTAATATTTAATTTAGCATTTTTAAACGCGAGATTTATATTAAAAATAATTTTAAATAATTAAAAATATTTTAAAAGTAATTCTAAATAGGAAAAAAATAAATTTATTTACCTAAAAACAATAATGTGCTGGATTTGAATTTCCTTTTTAGGGAAAATAATATTTCTAATAAATGTTCAAAATTCCAATTTTCTTGCTTCCATTCTTAAGAAAACTTTTCTACGGCTGTGATCTGGTTAGTTTTGATCATTGCAACGTGGCAGCCATTGGGACTGCTGATGTACACAGCTACGGTGGGCCGCATAACACAGAATAATAACTTTATGGTGCCGTATATTTATAATGGCAATTATTTATACATCGAAAAAGCAATTGCAGAGGAAGACTGGTTGGTAAATGGTTACCATTGTCCTGTTCTTCTACGCTCCGTCGTTGGGTCTTCTTCTTTTCTTTCCCCATTGAATCCAATTGTAGAGAGGGAAGCCCTGTTCGTACGACTAATCTGTTTTTGAAGCTTTAATCTGAAGTAATCGCCATTGAAATCCGTTCTCATTTGCAGCTTCGGGTACACCAACTGATTGATCTTTTATTTTGTTCTTGTTTGTGGACTATTTGTTTTTCATAATTGTGAGGTTTATCGGATTTGATTATTGAAATTGAGTAAGGAACTGAGTAGTATAAGTTTCCGATGGTGTAATTGGGTTGGGTATGGAGTTTTGCCCAATTTTTTGGGGTTAGTGATTGGACGTATATTGGATGGCGAGTGGTGTTGATGAAGACGCGGATGCTGTGCTCAGCGATGTTGAAGGTGATGATCCGGTGCCTATTGTGATTCAGAATACGTCTCCTGAAGAAATCTCTGTCGAGAGGTTTAGAGAGATTCTTGCGGAGCGCGATCGTGAGCGGAAAGCTCGAGAAGCGGCGGAGAATTCGAAATCGGAGTTGCAAGTATCTTTTAATCGATTGAAAGCGCTTGCACACGAGGCGATTAAGAAGCGCGATGAATGTGGAAGGCAGCGGGATGAGGCATTGAGGGAGAAGGAAGAAGCGTTGAAATTGAATGAAAAGGTTTCGGCGGAGTTGGCTGAGGCGAATAGGCAGAAAGATGAGGTCTCGAGTGTTAGGGATGAGATTGGGAAGCAACTCGATGAGATCTTAAAGGAACGGGATGGTTTGAGATCGGAAATTGGTAATGCATCACATATGCTAGTGACTGGGATTGATAAGATATCCTCAAAAGCGAGCAATTTCAAGAACTTTACGGCTGGTGGGTTGCCTAGGTCGCAAAAATATACAGGATTGCCTGCAGTTGCCTATGGAGTCATCAAGAGAACGAATGAAATCGTTGAAGAGCTTATTAGGCAGATTGACACGACAACTAAGTCGAGGAACGAAACCAGGGAACAAATGGATCTTAGGAATTATGAAATTGCCATTGAGATATCTCAGCTCGAAGCTACGATTAGTGGGCTGAGGGAGGAGGTATCGAAGAAAACTTCCGATATCGAAGATCTGGAGAACACTATCTCCGAAAAGGATAAAAAGATGTCTGAAATTGAAGCAGATCTGTCTGGTAAACTAAACCGGGCCGAGGATGAAGCTTCTGAGTTAAGGCAGCTTACGCAAGATTATGATGATAAGTTAAGGATTTTGGAGGCAAAAATGGAGTC